ACAACCTACACACACACACATTCTTAAACATATTGAATCTACACCTTATATTTGTTGAATATCAAATTTAACATTTTGCGCTCTCTCTCTCTCTCCCAATGTTACCTGGGTACTTCTTATTTGAAGCCGAACCCATACCCAACCTCCTTGGAACCTCGTTGCATATAAGCATACATCTATTCAGGCACATAATCAATTATACAAATACATGTTTTAATTTAAAATAGTTGTCATGCATTTTTAGGACATACATCCTACAATTCACATACACTTCTTGAAAGTAGTTGGACATAGGTCATATTCTGAATTATGATTTTGAAAGGCCATTTGGATGTCTAGTTCAAAGACAAGTGATTTTCCAATTTATAATCCGCATTATAAAAGAAACATAAAAGGTTATAGGAACTTTAATTCTCATCCTTATTCCCATATAAATTATTAATTCTAATATATAATATATGTGTATATAAATAATTATATAGTCGTGTCCCCTACCCTACCTTACAAATTTGTTGTGTCCCGTACTCGTAATAGTATTCATACCCGTACCTGTACCTATGCAACATAGCTCTCCCCTTTATTCTCTTCACTCTCGCCTCCCCCCTTAATCCCTCGTCCACCTTCCCCATCGATTTTTTCCTCAAACTGTTGATCCAATCCGAACCCAAATTTGTAAACATATAGGGTTACAGTCATATGCTGATCGACCAGAATTACTAGATTATTACCCAGGCATCATAATACCAGACTATCGTGTATGACTGAGTTTCTTTCCAATCTCTTTTTGGTGGCAATAGATTGGAGTTTATTGTCACTCGACAAGGATCACAAGGCTTCTTCAATTGAGATTGTTACCTAAGAGGTTGATTGAGACATTGATGTTGGTGTCTTAATAATTCAGAGAAATCAATGAGTTGATTGTTACCTAAGAGGTTGATTGAGACATTGATGTTGGTGTCTTAATAATTCAGAGAAATCAATGAGTTCCAGTCTGAGAGATCTTGCCAATAAGGCATTGATGTTGGTGTCTTAATAATTCAGAGAAATCAATGAGTTCCAGTCTGAGAGATCTTGCCAATAAGGTTGCTGATCTAGACGAGACTGGAAAAATCACAGGAAGGTGAAGAGGTGGATGGATGAGTTAGTGGGAGGTAAGAGAAAAAGAGAGAGAAGAGGAAAAGAAAGACAAAATAGTACTAATATTTTTAAACATTAAGCGATAAAAAGAGGATAAAGAAAAGCTTTGAAGAAGGTAGAGATCACATGTTTCTAAATGCATAGGGGGTGTCAGCCATTTTTCTCTTCTAGAAAATAGTGTGATCAATCCTAAATTTACAAATAAAAGCGCAATGCTAGCTAGGTACCAGCTGTTGCGGTTGTTTTAGAGCCACAGTGTCAAGTATGCCAAGGCCTATATGGCTATATCTGAATGGCCAAACTTATTTGTATCCAAAAAATGGTTTAGTGCATATAACGCATGTAGATTAAGCCTATTTTGCATGGCATTACGACATAACATGATCGCTAAATGTGATATTATATGCTTTTCCTAAGTCAACATAAGAAGGATTGAAATCAGAGGTAGAAAAATGGAAGAAACATAAAGAACGATAGACAATCAAACACAGGCTACTTCAATGAACCATGTGACTAGTTCCATCTTAAGTAACTGCTAGAAAGATAGACAATCAAACACAGGCTACTTCAATGAACCATGTGACTAGTTCCATCTTAAGTAACTGCTAGAAAGTAAGGCAAATGTTAATGCTATACTTCAATGAACCATGTGACTAGTTCCATCTTAAGTAACTGCTAGAAAGTAAGGCAAATGTTAATGCTACAACTGAACTATGCGTATGTCAACAACTAATAAGTCCTTAACACTTAATAATGGTTACAACAAGACTTCGGTACATCCAACTATGACAGAAAAGAGCAAGGCCGTCCTTATAAAATGCTAGGGGGTCAAAAAGAGGGACACTAAAACTATAACCACCCACTCCTAGCAACTCACGACCGATATGTGGCTAAAGGGCCATATACCCATCCACAAGGGCTGGCTTTCTATTAGCCGAGTCCCCGTCGAACGTTGAGATACTAATGTCGCAACCTCGGCTTTATGCTACCATTCTTCCTGATTGGACACTCCATTAAATGGCACAATTGCAATTGGAAGGCAAGTATAAGAGGTACTCTCCGGAAGGGTATAATCCAAATATGTAACAAGTTATTTCAAGTTACCCATATCGCCTGTGTGTCAATAAGAACCAAATAGGATTGTGCACGATATTTGTAAGTTTATATACTAGTCAAGTGATTCAGTAACATCAAATAGTCATTAGAGGAGGTCTGCTTTCTGCTGAGCATTTTATCAAGCACATGGGGGGGCAACAAACAATTCAGTTTAATAGGGAGAAGAATAGACCGTAGTGGAGTCTGCAGAGGACCCAGAAAGCGAGGCCGCCGCCGACGGTGAAGATAC